TTGTCACTAAAATATATGTCTATATTGAAGAGTATTGCCAATTCCTTTACCTACCACTGACTTTATTCTTCTACAGAATGGCAGTATTAATTGCTTTAGAATTCCCTTCCTTCCCTCCTTTTTGAAAACTTGGTTACAACTGTTTATTTCCCATGAAACATAATGTGTCAATTCTTACTTTGGAATGTTTGAGAAGACCAATATCTCAATTTAATTATATACTGGTCACTTAGCCCGTTTCACACACAACATTATACTTTAAATTTTGTAACAAACATTTTGTTTATTCTGAGGTCATAAATGACAACATTCCAAGCTTTGAAGTGTGGACCAATAATGTAAACATTTAATAGTGAGACTTGAATGTAACTCACAGCTTGGATCCATTTTAATTTTGTTTTATCACTACATTATAAAGGAGCTTGGATCCATTTTAATTTTGTTTTATCACTACGTTACAAAGGACTGCTTCTGTAGTAAAGCATGTGGAAGTTTTCTATCATTTATTTATCATTGTAAATTATATACATGCTGTAAATTGTGATTAAACTGATAGCAATTTCTCTGATTATACTCTTCTCTAATATGTCATTACAACCTAACCAACGTAGTATTCTTGCCTCTTCACAGAAGTGAAAGTGATCTGCTCTCTGTTGGAAGTATGCATCAGTAGTGTGTTGGTGACTTCCTAGGCTGTTCTATGCAGATTCCATTCTGTAGCTTGACTTAATAAACAGTGGTCAGAGAGATGATAACTGGTCCCTAGTACTTCTGTTATGGGGCCTAGTCATCTTCCGTAAGAAAAAAAATGTCTTCTTTCTGCATCATAATGTCTTCTTTCTGCATCATAAAACACATAGTTGAAGATTGAGTTTCACACACTATTGACTTAAAACAGGGGTTCTCTGGCTGAGGAATTCTGGGAGTTGAAGTCCACAAGTCTTAAAGTTGCCAAGGTTGAGAACCCCTGACTTAAAAGCAATGCACGTCTTCTGATTTACAAAAGTTTCTCACACTTTAGGATGTCTATTGTGAGGAAATGTTATAAGGAAACTATTTCTTCTAGATTCTTATGTGATTACAGCAAGTACTGTATCTTATATACAACACCAGCCCCAGGGACATTCTCCTATAAAAACATGGCTCTAAAAAAGCTTCATACATGGCTAAAATATGATTAGATCTGGAATGTTCAGCGAAAGGGACAAATTTAATTTTCTTCTAGAATATTACATCAGGTGTATTCCAATTCAATATTCATATTGCAGCTTCAGTTTGGGAGGATTTGTATGCAAATATATTTATTAAACCTAACCAGGGCCTCCCGTTGTAAGCAAATTACTGATATTCTCTGCCCTTCAATGTTAGTATCAGAAATCAAATTCATTATCTGAAATCTAATAAGGCATCTGGAGAAGATTTTTCAAGACATATATTGATTGGTGGGCACCATTGTTAGCAGGGCTGTTCTCCCATATATAAGTAAAAGGTTTTATCCCAGTCAGACATTGCATTATAGTCTCTATATATAAAAAGGGAGATGAGGGTGACCCAAAAAATTAATAGATTAATAAGCGTTATTGGAATTGTGGCTAAAATATATGCAAAACATCTTTTTAGCAAAATAAAAGACTGGAAATACATCTCTTAATGGAGGAATAAGCTGAATTTACATGAAAGTGCTCCATAATAGACAATTGTTTTATTTTACATCATATCATTACAAAACAACTAATGACAAGAAACTGCTTATTACCTTTATAGATCTCAGTGCAGTTTTTGATCCTTTAAACAGAAATATTTTGTGGAAGAAATTGGCTAACTTAAATATGGAACTCAGACATTTACTCTTGGTTAAGGGCCTGTACTCGAACATCTGTTTGAAAGTCCATACCGGTGTAAATGGTTCTGTAACTGAAAGTATACCTACCCATAATCCTGTTAGTTAGGGTTGTATTCTAGCCCTGATTCTTTTTAACCTATATGTCAGTGATGGCGAACCTTTTAGAGACCGAGTGCCCAAACTGCAACCCAAAACCCACTTATACATCGTCGAGTGCTGGGTAGGTGTGGCCCATTGGGTGGGCGTGGCTGCAGTGGTAACGGCAGACTGGGTGGGACTGAAAAGTTAATCAATTTCAACTTTGCAAGATCTTTTTTTCTCCGCGAGAAGTTGGAATTGATTGATTGAACCTTTTTTTTTTTTTTTTTTTCACACAGTGACAGAGGCCTAAAACGAAAAGGTTTTATAAAACCCAGCTGAAGGCCTAGGACTGGGGCGATGGCGCGTGTGCCCACATAGAGGGCTCTGAGTGCCGCCTCTGGCACCTGTGCCATAGGTTCGCCACCACTGCTATATGTCAATGTTATTCCGATATTCCTGTATGCTTCAGATATTCATATGCCAAAAATCCATAATAAATTTAATAATATCCTTTTATATGCTGATGATACGGTTCCATTGGCACACTCAAATAAGCCAGAGAAATCTATTGGGAAAAATAACAAAATGGCTGTGTTCTTAATTTTTTTAAACATCAATAAAACTAAATAAAAAGTGATGACATTTCCAAAAAGGCATGAGATATAATTGGCAAATGGGGAACCTATTGAATAAGTAAATTTCTTTACTTTGAATGGTTTTTACCAACATAAGGTCATGGATAAATGATTTTAAAAAAAGTTCTGCAAGGGCTGAGTCAAGTATTAAAAGATGCATAATTAAAGAGTTTAGCCTTGACCCCTATCCTAAAAGTATTCAGGGCAAAAATAGTCCCAATGCTAACTTGTTTGAACCAGTTCAGACCCATTTTTAAAGAAACAAAATAGAACTGGAAAGGACCTTGGAGGTCTAGTCCAAACCCCTGCTCAAGCTGGAGGCCTGTGCCATTTCAATCAAGTGACTGTCCAATCTCTTCTTAAAAACCTCCAGTGATGAAGTACCCACAACTTCTGATGGCAAGCTGTTGCACTGGTTAATTGTTCTCACTGTTAGGAAGTTTCCCCTTAATTCCAGGTTGCTTCTCTCTTTGATTAGTTTCCATTCATTGTGTCTTGTGAATAAGTTGATCCCCTCCTCTTTGTGGCAACCTCTCAAATACTGGGAAGTGTACTGGGAACTGATAAAGTGTCAGCCCCTGCAGTCAGAGCAGAAACAGGTATCCATTCCATACATGGCCAATCAATAATAATTATTTTTTTTGCATATTGGCAGAGAATCCATTCAATGGTGCTTGATGGGCTACCCAAAGTATGCTTAACAGAACAGATAGTATGGCTCAGTCCTATTACTGGGTAATCCTACTTATCAAAGTTATTATACAGTTCCAGTTTTCCACCCAATATTTATTCTCAATTTCTCCCAGCCATTTTTTAAAATAGAAAGTTGTAGATATCAGTGCCCAAATTGAGATGGAGTTATTGGCAAAAAAAAAAAAAAAAAAAAAGATGGCTAAGATAGAGAGCTATTTTCCAATTTGAAAAATACCTGTCACTAAGTTTGTCACAATTCTCAAGAAGGGCCTATTCTAAGAAAGATTTGAGTTGGGTTCCATGCCCAAATATAGCCATTTCCATCACCTACCATATCAAGAGAGGATGTGTACATGCGGTGTCCCATGAAATATAATTTCTATAAAATTCTAGGTAAATAATTGGATGAAATATTTTGAATTAAAAATTGTTAATACTAGTCTTTTAATGAGCAAGAGTTGGACTAATCTAAGACCTTCATTCAGATCTTTCCAAATGTGATTGCCTTGAAATTTTCTTTCATTTCTGAATTCTTCAAATAGAACAAAGTTATATTATAAAATTCATTATATAATGGACCTTTAAAAGAGGATTAGACAAATCCATAGACTACAAAGACATAGATCAGTGTTTCTCAACCTGGACAATTTTAAGGCATGTGGACTTCAACTCCCAGAATTCCACAGCCAGCAATGCTGGCTGTGGAATTCTGGGAGTTGAAGTCCACATGCCTTAAAATTGTCCAGGTTGAGAAACACTGACATAGATGGTTTTTGGTAGCTGTAAATTCGTTCCAAAATCAGAGGCAAAATATTTTTTCTGGGAAATATATATGCTCTGTCGGCATCCCAGAGGAAGTTGGTCAGCTGCTGTGAGAAAGGAAAGTTGAATCCATATAGTATCTTGTGTTCGTTATAATCGGTGTTTACACTGTTTGAAACATTATTTCTCCATGGAGAATCTGGAAGGGTTTTTCTAAAAAGATCACCCAGTGTACAGAAACAACTTAGGACATCACCAGCACACTGATGCATTCTTCCCTCAGAAAGCAGATCATTTTCACTTATCTGAAGTTTTCATGCTCTACAATGATATATGTTTTCTGATAATTTGCAAGAAGTAGCAGAAGCTTCTCATGTTTATTTTGGGAAGGTGTTACAAGAAATTTGCTTTCTCCAGATACTTATATGGTTATACTAAGTCATATATCTAACACAATGCAACTTATTTTGCCCCAGATGATCCTAATAAATAACTGGATTAAAGTTTTCAAGTGAAAAAACAGCAATTGTAGTCTTCCAAGAGCCAATCTGGTATGGTGGTTAAGGCACCAGGCTAGAAGACGGGAATCGATGAGTTCTAGTCCTGCCTTAGACACAAACCTAGTTCGGTGACCATATGCCAGTCACTCTTTATCAGTCTTAAGAAGCAGGCAAGAGTAAACTACTACTGAAATCCTACTAAGAAAACTACAGGAACTTCTCCAGGCAGTCATCAGGAGACAGCATTGACTTGAAAGAATCATTCCCCCACCAAGAAGTCCTCTATGGCCAAGAATTGAGTTGACTGGGAAGACCCTTGTTCAGATCATCTCAAAACCACCCTGAAGATCATAGGTGCCTATCTGCAGTAATCATTGTAGTTCTGGCCTACTTCCTAACTATTGCAGTAGCGTCAAGACTATTTTTATTGACTTGCCTTATAATCATGTTTATATTGGATATTTAAAATAGCTGGATATTTTTTTATACATTATGATATGTATTTTATTGGATACACACTGAAAAGTAAAGGCATGTTTCAAAGTACATATTTCAAGCACAAAACCCCTCAGAAGATCAGGTAGTTTATACAAACCTTGAAAAATGTAGAAATCTGAGTTGGATGAAAGAAAGCAAAATCAGAACACAAGCCTATCCTCTATACAGTTTGACTCATTTGAAAAGCAGAGTGTTGTTTACATACAATAAGAGAAATGGCTTGTCTTATACAAAAGCTGGATACAAAGCAAAAAATGCATGTATGAATACAGATAGTACTCAATTTACATCCACTCATTCAAGTTTGAAATTACAAAGGGAATTACAATCTATATCTAAAATTATGGCTACAGTATGCCTGACAGTCACATGAACAAAATTAGGGTGCTTTGCTATCTGCCACTCTTACTGCAGTTGCCCCTACCTGCCTATCTTCCCCTTCATCCCACCCTGCTGGGTCCCTTAGGCCTGCTTCCTGCCTCAATGGGTCCCATATCCTTGGGCTTCCTTCCCCCCCCCCCCGGTCATGACTTGTTCCACTTACCTTTTCCAATGATCACATTTCCCAGGGAGAAGCAGCTGATGTGCCATGTGGCTTTATCTACATAGAAGCCACGTGATGGCATCCTGGAAGTAGGTGCCATTTTGGAAGGTGGTGCAATTCTCACATTCTGAGAATTGCGGCCTCTCCCAAAAGGGTACCCATTTCAGGGATGGCATGAAGCAAGCTGTGTATAGGAAGGCTGAACAGCGGATAGACTGCTGCTTTTTCTGAAAAGTGATCTCTGAAGATCAACCTTTGGAAAAAAAGCTGATCTGTCATTTGGTCTTCCTATAAAAGGGCTGTGTGGTGCCATCCCAAAGTAGGTGCCATTTGGGGAGTGACAGAGGCCACTTTAAATCATCCTGGAGCAGGTGCCATTTTGGGAGTGGCCATAATTCTCAAATCCAAGAATTGTGGCCATTTCCCAAAAATGGCGCCTGCTTCTGGAATGACACTACAGTATATGGCTTCTGTATAGGAAAGCAGCTCAGCAGATCAGCTGCCTTTCTGAAAGGCAATCTTCAGAAAGAGCCTTTCAGAAAAAGCAGCCAGTCCACTATGCAGTGTTCCTATGCAGGGGTTGCTTTGGGTTATCCAACTTCCAAAATGGCACCTACTTCCAGGATGGTATCATACGGCTGCTGCACGATGAATCTCCTTGGGTAAGGTGGCTTTCAGAAAAAGTAAGTAGAGCAGGGTAGGGGGTTTCCAAGGATGTGGGATCCAGAGTGATGGGAAGCTGTTCAAGGGAGGCCTCCAGATTGGGGGGGGGGCTGGTCCAATGCAGGACAGGTGTGATTTGGGGAGGTGCTGTAATGTGGGCCTGTTTCTGGCCTCCCAGGACCTTTACCAGTCTCTAAGGGATCCATTAGTCCATTTAATAACCACAATGGAGAGATTGCATGGTGGTCATTAAGTGAGGCAATCATGTGGACTCAATTACAACCATAAATCCAGGCTTAGTTCTGGTCATAAGGCGAGGGCTACCTATACTGCACAGAGAGGTCCAGAGAAGACATTGTTCACGTGTTTCATTTCAAAAGTGCAAGGGACTGGAACTTTAGCTTATGTGACTTGTTGGAGGAGAAGAGGTCAATTGCCATCTCCCTGATCCACACTTTCGATGTTGCTGCTGCCATCTCCATGGTCCACACTTTTGATGTTGTTGCTGCCATCTCCCTGGTCCACACTTTCGATGTTGCTGCTGCCATCTCCATGGTCCACACTTTTGATGTTGTTGCTTCCATCTCCATGGTCCACACTTTCAATGTTGCTGCTGCTGCCGCCGCCTCCTACTGTAAAGTAACTACCTCTGCCCAGGCTAAAGCCACTTCTGTAGCCAAGACTGCTGCCAGCAGTCGAACTTCGTGAAATATGTGAAGAGATAACAGCTGCGGAAAAGAAGACACAGACTTAGGGAAGAGCCCAGGCATTTTCTGTTCTAAGAAAGACAGCTACTGGTACCTTGTAGAAATTACAAGAAGGGTAATCACTATGGACTCTGTCAAGTCCATCCTTCCTATAGGACCTTCAAACGTTCCCCAAAATTAAATGATTTTGAAACTTGTTTATTTATTTTATTTCTCAATAGTGGCAAACGTCAGATGAAAAAGTATGATGTACTTGCTTGAGATCAAATGCAAGAACTCTCTGGCCATAGGAGATCTGAGGATGAAATTACTAACATGTGAGATTTGGTGATGGATCAGAGTTCCTACCGATTTGTGTGTTGCTGTCTGAGGCCTGGAAAATTGGTTGAATTCTGTCCTATGGCATTCTACAGATGTTAAAAAAAAGTAGATAGAAATAGATGCAAATTTTCACCCCATACCTGTGGTACTATGTTGACATAATATACCAAGAACTTTGCTGTGCTACTGCTAGTGTAATTGCCCCAGTTATGATTGCAAAACCTACAACTGTAGGGGAAGAGACAGGGCAGGAGAGTGGAAGGACAGCACAAAGTGCAGTTTTCTCCATCTAAATAGAGGCAAGGAACCTCTTAATCAATACTGTACAGCAAAGATCCAATATATTCTTCACTATACTTACAGATGTTCACTGCACCAGCTGCATCATTTGACAATCTGTCAAGAAACAAAACAGAAGTCAAGCATGGGTAAGAATTCAAACATATTCTGAGTATATACAGCTGACTGAAAGAAAACCAATGTTGTTTGTCTATTGTTGCAAAGTCATCAAGTCCTTAGGGATACTGAAGGATGAACTTCATGGGAAAGAGGGTCAATGTGCCCACAGAACTAGATGCTAATGGGGATTGGATTTTTTTTTAATGGAGTTTGAGGACTTCCACCAAAAAATGGCAAGACCTGTAAAGATCTACTTAGATATGGGCTATCACTGACCGATATTCTTCTCCTTCCAGAAGCTTTCTGTAGGTGGCAATCTCAACATCTAGGGCCATCTTCACATTCAGTAGTGCCTGATAATCCTTGAGTTGTTTGGCCATATTTTGCTTGGCGTTCTGAAGACCATCCTCAAGTTCAGCCAGTTTCTGCCTTGCGTCTTTGAGTGCCTGTTCACCTCGGTCTTCTGCTTCAGCAATCTTTGCCTGTAGATTAGCACACTTAGGGGAGGAAGGAAAGAGAAATTAGCATAGTGGGTCTTCCCTTCAGAACAGAGCAAAATATCTTCAGTTATAATATCTCGTAAGCAGATATGATAATTTGTATTGGGCCAAGACCCATCCTTGGGCTTTTGTAGAAGCTTTAAAGGCACACCCAAAATGTCAAGGGCCACCTGCTTCAAACATTGTAAGAATAGATGGTATTAAAGAAATAATATGATTATGTGCAAGATATTCCAACTTTGGAAGAACCATTTTGAATATGAAATCATAGGGCTAGAAGGGATCTTGGACGTCTTCTAATTGAACCTCCTGCCCAAGTCAGGAGTCCTTATACCAAATGGTTGTCCATTTTTTTCTTGAAAGCCTCCAGTGATGAAGCACCCACAACTCTGAGAGGGAAATATTTAAGCTTGCAATCAAATGGGAAAATTTCAGTATCCTATATGGAACAATTGGTTTATTGTTTCATGACTAGTGAAAGGATTGCCTTCTTCCCAACAATTTCCAGGATAGTTAGTACAGTAGCAATGTCAGCCATCTTGCTTTATGCTTGACAGGATGAAGTACTGTCTACATGTAATCCTTGACTTACGACTGTTTGAAGTTATGACAGAATCCCCCCCCCCCAAGTTACTTCCAACCCAGTGTTGAAGTTATGATTGCAGGTGTGCTGCAGCTGCCCCTCTGCCTATCTGTCCCCCCCCCATCCTGCCCTCGGCCTGCTTCCCACCTCACCAGGCCCCTTAAACCCCATATGAATTGTGGTTCCTCTGAAAATGGTGCCTCCTTATGGGATGAAGTCACACAGCCCAGGGATGCTGTGGGGCAGAAAGGCCTGCACTTCTACTCAGTGCAAGCTCCAGGGCTTTTCTAAAGTGTGTGATTGGTGTGAGGAGGGTGTGGTGCCTAGTGAGGTGGGGAGCATGCCCAAGGTATGTGGGGACCCCAAGGGAGGGTGCCTCAGGGATCAGGGAGACCTTGGGAGAATCTGGCAAGCATTCCTAGGCCTACGCTAGGCCTCCCAGGGCCTCCCACACCTGAGGCACCCCATGCTCTGCTTAATGACAGCATCGGGGAAAGCTGGGGGAGGCATTAAGCAAGGCAATCAGAAAATTGTTAAGTGAGGGGATTACATCACCTTGCCTGACAACTGCAACAACTTGCAACGATAATGGGCAGGCGTCATTACTTGTCATGTGTCAAGGGTTCCCTGAATTGGAAAGTTGAAAGAAGTGTGCAGACCAGGGAAAAGATGACTGTTTGCAGTTGCATGTTAGCCAGGAAATTTACAGCTGTTTGAAAAAAATAATTGGTATGGGGACATTACGTGGATAAGCATCATAGATGCTGCGTTATACTTTGTTTTGCAGGCAGGTAATGTAAAGAGGTAGTTTGTCTATGTGTGTCCTATTGTGTTTCATCTATAGTGGTATCTCGGTATTCGACTACTTCAAAACTTGTCAAATTTGGTACTTGATACAAAAAAGTTGTCGGTACTCGCAGTTTCATTGGGATTTAGCCTGTTGCAAAAGGAAGAGGGCAATGATCAGAGGAGGTAGCATTATATTAAGGATGAAAAAGTAAAGTTTTTCAACTAGGGAGCATAGTATGATCATAACTTTGGGAGAATGCAGTGACCTACCTGCTTTTTCACACTTTCAATTTCAGCCTTTACTCTCTGGACATGTCGGTTAAGTTCTGTAATCTCATGCTTGGCGTTACGAAGATCATCACTGTGCCTTCCAGCAGTACTCTGGAGTTCCTCATACTAAAAAAAAAAAAAAAAAAAAAAAAAAAAATGGTGGAAAGCAATCACCATAAGTTAATTATTATTTAACTACATGAATCAGTTTTATTCATTTCTGAAAGTATATCTATGTGTTTGTCTATCAGACTCCCTCAGTCTGGTGCTTTAGTGTGCTTTGTCAGTTGTCATTGGCAATGCTAGCTGAGAAGTAGGGAGAGTGCCCTTGAGGTCACCAGGTTGGGAAAGCAGGCATGTAAACACTGAAGCAAATTGAAAGAGAACTAGGAGGGAATCAGATTTTCAACCCTTGTACTCTACAAGAGGCCAGAGTGGCATGCAGTTTCTCTGACTACTAATAGATTTACAATAAACGATTGGTGGGACAATGAGAAAGGAGAAGAGGCAATGTCCATTCATTACCTGGCTTTGTTAATTCCAATTCTGGAAGAAAACACTTGACCTCCTCTTACAGCTAACTCAGTGTAATAACTCACCCACCCGACTCCCTTGGTGATGATTCACCTTGCTTTGATACCAAGCTTCAGCCTCAGCCCGGCTTTTCTTTGCAATGTCTTCATACTGGGCTTTGACTTCAGCAATGATGCTGTCGAGGTCCAGGTAGCGATTGTTGTCCATGGACAAAATCACAGAAGTGTCCGAGATCTGCCTCTGTAGGTCTGCCAGTTCCTGCACATGTTATAGGAATAGTCCACTCAGAAAACATACATAAAATGGTCAGGCCTTGGCAAGTACCTAATTCAAAATTTAGAGCAAATGATCCTTTCTATTAGTAGGTAAGTAAGGAAATTGGAAGGGGTGTTCATTTTTCATAATTTCTTTTTTTTCCCAAATAACTTTCAACTTTTTTCTAAGGGTCACATTCATTGATCGAAAATACAGTTGACCAGAAAGAACAGATTGGGATGAGAGCTGTTAAAAAATGTCTATAGAAAATCCAAATAACTGCACAGGGCAATAGAATCCCCAGCACTGTTTTCCTAAAAAATCGTCTTTGTCCTCCAACTTGTTAAATTTAAGAATCTATAGCCTAGGTACAATCAATTATTTGAAACTTGTACAAGAGAGTTTTGGGGTTACAAAATACTTGATCAATGTTTTTGTCTAATGAGAGCATTTATCTTTAGCTCTTCGGGTTCTGGAACTGCAGAATTTCTTACATAACTCTTAATTCTGAACCTATTTTTTAACTCTTAATGTTCTTTAAATTACTTTAGGGATTTTCAACATCTTTTGAGTTTAATTTATCCTTCCTTCCTTCCTTCCTTCCTTCCTTCCTTCCTTCCTTCCTTCCTTCCCTCCCTTCTTCCCTCCCTTCCTTCTTTCCTTCCTCCCTGAAAATATGCTACAAATTTCTTTTTTTAGCAAACTTGTTTATCTAGGGTCAAGAGAGAGGGGACTTCTCACAATGAAACTACTTCAGGATTGTAAATGAATACTGTAGCTATCTTTTTGGCAGGACATTTACATTGCATAATAGAACACAGTTCAAAGAAAATACTATTGAGGCTTACCATTTCATGTAGGACTCTGAGGAAATCAATCTCCTCAACTAAAGATTGTAATTTAGTTTCTAGTTCTGGTTTGTTCATGTAGGTAGCATCCACTTCCTAAAAAGAAAACACTGGATTTAAGGGCAAGAAGTTAAAGCACTTCAGTTATTAATCAATTATTACTTGAGTATTATTCAATATTAAAATACATGTACACACACACACACACATATATATAGTATGTACAGTATATATGTATGTGTGTATGTATGTACAGTATGTATGTATGTATATTCTAATTGAGATTATACTTGTTTCTGGGATAGTCCCACCTTTTAACATCATAGCAAGGGCTGCCTTTTTGCAAAGTGTTCACACTGCATGCAGACTCTCACCTTCTTGAGGATTACAAAGTCATTTTCTGCTTCCATACGCTTATTGATCTCATCTTCATACCTAGTTGGGCCAGTGGAGGAGGAAAAAAAATAACACCTTAGAGAAATCTGGTAAAGATGCTGCACAGCTTGAAAGTTTTTAAAAGGATCCTGATACTATCCCCGATTCTCAGGTGTGGCTGGTCAATCATAACAAAGCCGTATGGCTTAGGCCTGCCATAGTTGGTCTGGACAATCATCTGCAAATAGCAGTTCTGTGGTTCTCTGTGTCAATGTAATGGTCATCTGAATTTGTGCAACCCAGGAATATTAACTATGCTGAGATCAGGGAATTGAAATCCATGTACATGCAGAGCACCTGATGGCCAAGAGCCAACATATGGTTCTTTTACCCCCTCACACCTAGCCGGTAAATCACCTTGGCACTTTTGTTTTTAACAGAGCCTGTTGTGAGATCTTTAGGTGCAATGAGCTGTGTGAGATCCTTAGCTGCAGTATAAGCAAAGAGTATAAAAGAGGGAGCAAATTTGAAGACATTAAGAGCCAGCTGGGGTTAGTAGTTAAAGCACCAGACTAGTAATTGAGAGATTGTGCCTTTAAGTCCCATCTTAGGTATAAAACAAATTCAATGATTCTGGACCAGTTACTCTCAACTCTAGGAAGCAAGTAATGGCAAACTACTTCTGGAAAATCTTGCCAAGAAACCACAGGGACCAGTCCAGGCATAACCCCCCCCCTCCCGATTTGCTGGCACAAACATGCATAAAAGAGGGAGTAAGATGAAAGTCTTACTTGCTCCTGTAATCCTCAACAAGGTTTTGGGTGGTATGTAGCTCTCCATCCAGCCTTACTTTCTCCTTCTCCAGATCATTCAGCCTTATTCTAAGATTGTTGATGTAAGCCTCAAAAAGTGGCTCAATGTTACTTTTCACAGTTTTCTGGTCATGTTCCTGTAGCAGAGTCCATTTTGTTTCCAGCACTTTATTCTGTTGCTCAAGAAAACGCACCTGGAGGAAGAAAGACACAGAATTTTTTTGAGGGGAGGGGGGATTAAATGATAACTTGAGAAACATTTTAGAGGATTTATCTTGATTTGTTCTTGAGCGGATTGTAAATGTTACTCTTTCTTCTTTTAATATCCTGGATATATACATAATATATTAAGGGAAAGTGAATTGGAAAAAGATGTGCATTATTTTAAAACTGGAGAAATAACCATCAGTAACATGCTATGCTTACGGTACTATTCTCATAATTGAAAATGCAATGGATTAGAAGATCTTGTAAGAAAAGTCAAGCTAATACATTCCATGTGATACTATAATAACAGAAACTGGATTCTGAAGAAATAAGATAGAAAAAGAGTATTGCCATTTTTTGAAATTTTGTGTTGGAGAAAATTGAGAATATCATGGACAGCAAAGAAAAAAACCCAATCGATCATCAAACAAATCAACCAAAAGTTTTCACTCAAGAGGCAAATAACCAGGCTGAATTTATCCTATTTTGGACACATTATGCAAAGGTCTAACTCCCTGAAGCAGTTTCTAATCTTGAGAAATGTGGAAGAAAAGACTAGCAGCACATTTACAGAGGTAATGAGTTCATCTATTGGAAGATCTGAGGATCCAGTTGGAACAGCTTGCCTCCAGAAATCGTGGGCACTCCATCACTGGAGATTTTTAAGAACAGGCTAGACAGTCACTTGTCTGAGATGGTATAGGTCCTCCTGCTTGAGCAAGGGGGCTGGACTAGAAGACCTCCAAGGGCCCTTCCAACTCTATTCTATTCTAAACCTGGAGAAAAATCTATGTATTTTTTGTAGTATGTAGTGTATGTAGTGTTGCTAAGAGTCAGTACTAACTTATGATGTACAACTCTCAAGCCTTATTCTGTATATATTTTGAATGGGATACCTACCTATTCCACATCCCATATTACTCATCAACAGTCAGTTCTCTGTATATATTATAAGCTACATTTCTCTAGGATAAAGACTTATAATCATGCCTGCCAAAATGATTTCATGAGCTTCATATACCACTTATTTCTTAAAAATACAATTTATGCATAAAGGATAATGATGAAGCCATTCTGATTAGCTCTCATTTTTTCTGTCACTATTATATAGTGTGAAACTATTGACCTACTGAGAATCATTTTAGAGAAAATAAGTTAACTTTTCCTTATAGCATTACTCTAGTCAAGTTGCTGTTGCAAATGCAGCAAGACCAGGCAAAAATTGGCAGCTCTGTAATTTCATTTAGGTGGTGCCAGCTAGTAATAAATAACAGCTGTAATGACACAAGCAAAAATTGCAAAAGGAGTTGTAGGAAAGGCTCTTGAGCTCTTTCCCCAATTCATTGCATCCTGAAATAACAAAGCATTTATTTATTCTCACCTTATCAATGAAGGAGGCAAACTTGTTGTTGAGTATCTTGATCTGTTCTCCTTCTTCTTTGCGGACTTTCTCTATGGTGGGGTCAATCTCCAGCTTGAGAGGCACCAACAGGTTAGGATTGACAGTTACTTTTTGGATTCCACCTGGTGGGCAAACTGGGAAGCAAGAGTCCCCTCTTCCTCCACCAAAACCAGCTCCACCTAGCCCATAGCCTCCACCAATACCACCACCAACAGCATAGCCATTACAAACTCCACCACCGTACCCATAGCCTCCACTGATGCCACTGCCATAACTGCCTCCAACTGCAATCCTCTTGGATGCACCAAGATTGTAAAGGCTTTGGCTACCAAAACCAGCCCCACCGGCCTGGCCCCAGCCAGCACGTCCAATGCCACAGTTTCCACCTCTGCCCACACTTTGTGAGCTCCAGTTGGTGCGACACAAGTTAGGTAGGATGGCAGATGAGTTACTGAAGCCTCTCCTCTGAATTCTGATGTTGGCTCGGTGAGACATTTTAGTTGGTGAAGATCTTGAGAACAAAGATGCAGAAAGACGTACAGAGAGGAAGAGAGGACACAGTCTGTGAAGTAGAGGCAAGTGTAGGTGTGAGCTCTAGATTTTAAGGTTTCTTCTTTTATTTATATTGTCAAGGAAGTGGGATTGGTTGTGATTGCAGTTGATCAACTTTCTGATTAATGTTGCTGGGCATGCCCTAAGGCTTTCTGAATTGTGACATCACTGTTTTGTCATACACACTCCACACTAAGGCTAAAGGGTGATGCAAGTCCAGGGTTCTCAATATTTTTTTGCTCGTGGCCCTCTTCTGAGCCTGATTTCTCTCTGGCTCCCCCTCATAGCTGCTTTTACTTATTGTAGATTTATTTACAATACAATATCATAAATTGTAGTAATTTTCAGTATTTATGCTGCTGAGATTAGCACGAAGAGTGAAATGTCTAACAATCCATTGGTTATTTGCCCGGCAGTTAAATTTGGGTGGTTGTTTCAGAAACCTACTGTGATCCCTTAGATCCCACCAGTGATCTAAGCCATTGTTAGTTGTCATTTCAGAATAATAATTTCCTCAAGCTTTCTGGGAGTTGAAGTGCACGAGTCATAAAAGAGCCAAGGTTGCCTACCCCTGCCCTAGATGATGAAGATGGGCCAGGGAATTGGGTTTAATTTGTGATCAAGCTAGAGAACAAGAACTGATGAGAGGCTGTGCTCCAAATCAGTTCCTCGTGCCTTGTGAGGATGATGGTTTTTTCATTTGTCACTTTCCAGGAAAAAAAAATCACCACAGGGATGGAGGCACCCCACCTTTGATATCTAAATGCAAAGCAGAATAAAGTTTCAAACCATTAGGAGGAAAACTGGCTCTGGAATAGTATCTTCCCCAAGTTGGAGATGCTTTGCAAAACTTGAACTACAGACTTATCCAAGGTTTGTAATGCTAGGCAAGTAGGCCGTTGAAAGGCTTGTCTTTAAGGGAGAATTGGTGGGAAGCAATGACCATATCCTGTATCTTTCACTTGCACCACAAGTTGAGGGGTGAGGGAGAGATCCAGGTTCTTGAACCATCCAGAACAGCAGAATTGTTCTATAGTCTGTTCTCTATAGATGCAGCCTAGAGTCAACCATTACATGACTTGTTTGCTTTGAACCTAGCATGCTCTGTTTAATTGAGTATTGTGAATATTTGCAAACCATGATTTATGGCTTAGTACATAAATGGCTTGTGAGTTGCATACCATGGGTAAGGACTTATCATCATGGTAAACCTATCAGTTGTTGCTTTTAAATTTATTGTAACAAGTTAAAAAACACACACACAAACAAAACAAAAACAAAAATGTGAAGAAGAAAAAAAAACAAAAGTTAAAAAACAAAAGCAAGCCAGACTAATCAATATATATCACATATCCAATATTAGAAAATACTTATACATTTCTGAATCTGAATTGAAGAGAATATTCTTGAACCCACTAGTTGTGGCTTATTGAATAAAATATCCTCAAGCAAAACTTGAACAATACCATTTGTGAATCTAGTCAGAAATGGATGTTCTGTTTTACCCATTTAAATTGCTTCCAGCCTGTCTTTTTAATCAACTGAATCTCAAAGTCCCAGTCCCAGAGATAAGTTAAAAATAATAATGTCGGTAGAATCCTGGCAACCCTGCATAAGGTTGCCACACATCCAGGCATTTATGAAATAATTTTAAAAAGCAACTCCTCAGCAGAAATTGTGTTGGCAGAGGCCTGGTGCCATCACTCTTGCAGCATGTGAAGCAATTCAATAATCAAAAAATAAACATTGCAATCATATTTATTGAAATTTAAAGGGAGCGGGTCAATCTCGATTCTTAGCAATTTTATGAACAGCTCAGTAATCTGCCATTGACCATCCATAAGCGCAACCAATGTACTTTCCATCCTGTACCCAGATCAGACTGCCAAAGGTCCAGATAACCTGGATCCCTGTGAGTGCTTTGCAACTAAACTTCTATTACATTCTCACTACTATTGTCTGCTTTAATTAGCTAGGTGGGGCAGGAGGCCAAGCCACAAGTGATGGAATTAAACTAACACAGTGATTCTGGGCACGTCTTCAGACTCACAGGTTCAAAAGCTTCCAAGTAACACCACTGAACAGCACCTTTATCATCTCAGTAGACTTTGTACATTTGGAGAAAATGTGATTTTATCCATGAAATAGTCTACCAGGCAACTTCAACTTGCGCTGACTGGATTTTCAGGCTTCCCCAAAAGGTTCCAGGACACTTTAAGAAGTGCAGCCATTTGGTGTTTTGCAGCTGTCATAAGGACAGAGAAGTACAGTAGTAGTTATATTTCACTATTGCCAACAATTCTCTTGAATCTGGATGCTTACTCTTCTGCACTACCATTTCTGCACTAGCTTTTTGTTTTGTGCCAGCATCACTGCACCATTTCATTGAGCTCCAGAATAAAACAAAGAACTGCCTGAGACATAGGGTAGGGGAGAGGCTGCTCAGGAGTAACCAGGTTGAGTACCCTAATTGCTTCCACATTCTAGAGGTCAGCAAGGTGGCAACAGAAACATCTTACAAATTGCTTGGAAATTCTCCAAGTGCCAGCAAGAAATTTGCTGAATCATTAGATGTGTGGGGTGGACCACCTTAATAGGGCCTGCCTCCCTGCGGAGATTGATGATTTTAGTTAACATCATTGTCACAAGGAAGTGATCTGTCCATGATATGGATGGAAAATTCCCCCAGAAGCATATCACAGTATACATTTGCCACAACATATCCTCTTCCCTGCAAAAAATGAATTTGACCTCCATGAATAGGAACACTTCCTCCCCCCCCCCCGCCCTTCCATGGGCCATCTCTTCATTCAGGTAAGTCTTAGTATTGTGATCCCTTTGAAGTACGCCAGACCAGGAAAATGACTCTACAGGTTTGACTGGAACAATATATTGACACTGGCTATAGTAACAGAAACCTTGAAAACCTGCATGCATTTTCCCTCCTCTCCTTACATCCCAGAGAGTTAGGGCAAAGCCAGGCTGAGTTTCTTTCTAATGTTTTCTTTGTTTCTTGAACTTAGACCATGTTTTTCTACAATTTTAGTAATGTCTCTGGATACCTTTTCCAAGTTGTCAATGTGGTCCTCCATTGTAATACACGGCAATTCTCTGGTGTGGCTGGTTTTATTACCAGTGGTATTCAGTAGCATGATCCTGAGCCCAGAGTGCCCAGTAATCTAGTTCCTGAGTAGAGATTGTGAGGCTGGAAGTAAAGATGGGAATTGAATCTCTTGTATCAGCCTGGCTGTGGGGGCTCTGAGGTAAGCAGGTGTAAGGTGCGTGGGGCAGCTCCACCCTCACACCTGCCTCGCCTTAACTCGTGGCAGTGGCACTGGTGCGATGCATGCTCTCCTGCCCCATTGTGGCAGTGAGCAATCAGACAGTGGGATGGAGTGGGTGGGCTCTTAACTAGGGCTTATTTTTGGGGTAGGGCTTATATTAGGCACATGCCAAAAATCAGACTAGGGTTTATTTTCTCTGTGGGTCTTATTTTAGGGGAAACACAGTATTTCATTTTTCAATCAGTTTGCATGGTTGGCTTGTCTACTTATAGTCACTGTTTCCACTCCGTGAACAAGATGGTTAGAATGAACAACTGTGTGGAGTTTGTTTAAAGCTTATTGTATTATCTGCAGAGTAGTTCTAGTCACAGCTGAAAGTAGAGTATTCCTCTCATTTTTTGGGGTGGTGGTGGTGTTTATTGTAGTACCGAAAATACCTTGAGACTATTCAGCAAGCTAAAAGTATCTACATTTTGGGGATAAAATATCAGTGAGTCTTGTTGAAGCCAGAATTAGGGCTTATTATGATGATTTAATGCACTCCTACATTGGGAAGCACTGTTCTTAGACATTAGCCAATCTTGGCCTGCTTTTAAGGCTCAGGAACTCTCATTCAGCGATTCCTTCTTTTTTTTAGGCAACATTCGAAAGAAACTGATATATAGTTGAAGTGGGCATATAATTGAGATCTCAGAAATCATTAATTGAATTGCTCCTCCATTAATTATCTTCATAAGATGTAACTAGAAATTTTGCATTTTGTACTTTTTTTTTACTTGGATCTGTTTGAGATTGGAGAGACCTATATGTCCAGTAAAAAAAAACCCCAAAACCAGAAACATCCTATTTTGAGAAAGAGGTGATCTATGCAGGAAGTTTCTCAGACAGATGTCTAATTGATTACACCTTGACATTTTTTTTTAACTGCTATACTGCAGTTTTACTTTTTACAATCTCTTTTGCCTTGCAGCCCCCAACTAGGGGCGTTAAGTAGGCTCAAGTCGCAACTGAGAAACATTACAAATCCAAATTTCTTTTTCTGACAAAAAATGTCAAGGTGTAATCAATTAGACATCTGTCTGAGAAACTTCCTGCATATACTCCCTTGACTCAGCTGGCAAAGAGGGAGGAGAGCCTGTGGCTTGGTGGTTAAATCACTGCCTAGTATATAAACTGCCCAGGTTCGAATCCCATAAAGGGTGTGGCTAACTGACGAGAGCAGAATGAGCTCGAAATGGCCATCTTAGTCTCCCAATTTAATTCTTTAATTCTTTGTCAGAAAAAGAAATTTGGATATATATATATATATATATATATATATATATATATATATATATATATATATATATATGAGTAATAATATTAAAAATATGAACCCTGGGTATATTCATGTTTAAAATAAAATGAGCACCAAGGTAGTTAAAACTATAAAAGTTTAATTTAAAAACGCCAAGCTTTCGCCGTCACCTGCCGGCATCATCAGGGCTTAAAACGCCAGAGAGTGGGAGAGTCTCTTATAAGCAAGCCAGAGTCTGCGCCCGGCTCCTTGATCTCGTTATCGGACCTAATTGGATAGATTGTACTCCGGTGATCCGTTTCTTCCTGCACCCCTTATCTACGTGTATGTCCTCATTTGCCTTCTTTTCCTTGGATTCTAGGGTGGGTGGGGCAACCTCCCTATCTCCCTGGTTGCCCCCCTCCTTTGATCCATTCTCTCCCTCAGGTTTGTGTGGTGGTTTGCATTTCCCTTTCCTCTTTTTCCAATCCACATCCATGCAGCTATTCTCTCTACGAGTGCTTTCTCTTTCTTCCCTAACGCCTCCCCCTCATGCCTAGTTGTTA